AGTACTATGTAAAATGGAATATGCATTACCAAGATTTGACCAAGCATCAGAAGTCAGAACAATGTTTGCTAGCTGATAGGGAAAGGCCTATACATCCTCCTTCGAGAGGCACGAAGGCCAGTGATGCAACCCCACCCTTTCTTCAAAAATTCAGAAAGTTCAGTATCATTTAAACTTGTTTAGCTATGCTCGTGTTCAAGTATCTAAGATTTACATTGGAAATTTCTAGCTATATACCACCCTAAAATGATTCCAACTATACCCCTGCTCAAAATGTTGTAGCCTTCGTGCCCTGAATTAATGTGCTCGTAGAATGAATTTCCCAACGCTCCCTCCCTTTAATGATTGTATCTTGTCCTTGATAAACAAATCATTTGTAGCTCGAAATTCAGAAATTAAAAGCTGTTTATCAAAATTATTTTTCTTTAAATGCATGCAGCTATCCACAAATACACATAAAGCAAACCTAGTTTGTATTTCTCTGATAATTTTAACAAGCATCAGTGGTTATTACTTCACCTGAGGATTTCGATTGCTTGATTATAAACCAGGAAAATTTGGAATGACCCAGATCAGAATATGCGTATTATGTTGATGACTATCGAGGGCAACCACAGATATCTTGGATCACCCAAGATTGAAATGCTAATATGCATTCAAGTGTACGCTTACCATTTCATTCCAGTGTCAGGAAACCTCAAAATACCAGACACCTCCCAATAAGGGACAACCCACCTCTAAATGAGGGACACCTCAAAACAACACATAGTGACTTTTCCCTCCAAAAAATTTCTCATGGTAGCTGTTACCTTGTAAAAGATAAAATGGACAAAATACTTTGTTCTTAAGGTGATTATTGAACAGGGTTTACCCTGACTTCTTGCTGTCTTGTTGTAGGGCTTTGAGACACCAAGGGTATACAAGGTTATAGAGAACCTTTACTGTACATGAAAGATAATTAGAACAATTTCATACAATCAACAAAAGCTTTCTACACAAAAGAAGATCTAAAAAAGAAGGGAGATTGAAAAGTTTTGTACAGCAAAAACCTGTTTTAGACAGCTTTTACCCTGGGTAAAAAGCCTGGCACCCAGGGTAGAAAGCTTTCCCTTCGTTTTAAATATCTTCTTCTTTACTTCACTCAAGATGGCTTGCTCAATATCTCCTCCTATGACAGTTATTCTGGGTGACGGGCAAAATTGGAAATTAGTGAACAATAGCTTCGGTCAGAATTTTCTTCTTAGAAGGAAGACAGTCGATGGTAGATGAATAGATCGTGAATTGTGAATAGATATTTTTTCCAAAAAGGTATGTGTCTGATTTTGAGTCTTTAGTTGATTTACAGTATCTTAGAAGGGCGGTACTTTCATGAATTGAACACTGAGCCTTACTAACCTGGTTCTGAAAAATGGTCCTAGATTTGTGGAATATCCTACAGGAAGGATTCGCATTTTTTTCCTTTGAAATAAGCCATAAAAAGAAACGAGGCAAGGAAAAGAAACAAACAGCTTTTTTTACGACGGATCTTTAACAAAATCTAGGGATTGTGGAACAAATTTTTGTTAAAGAATACACCAGGAGGGCCAGGAGGGCCAGGAGGTCTGGCAATGGTAAATGACATGCTGCCCCCAAAAGTTTTTAAGATTCACCTTAACATTGGAACATGTATTATATTCTTGGGAGATACCTTTGACGAGTTCATGCAAACATCAATAGGACGTTTTTCTAATTCTTCCATACGCGATGCCTTGCTTTTGCAGGATAACAACATTTGGAAAAATTGGGCCAAAAGCTGGGAACAGGAGGTAAATTCTCCAGAAGATGTTTCTGCCGATCACCCTACCCCCACCCATCTGAGGGCTACTAAATTTCTCTGTTTCACATTTATAACACAATGAATCTTTTATTATTTCACAAAATACACAAGTTATTTTCGAAACATATTTTGGGTAATTTGGAGGCTGTTGACCTGGCCCCAATGGACCCCGTGGCCCTATGGCCCTGGGTTCGAGAAGAGGAGCCATGTTTGTTTATTACTTTCGGAAAGAATCCATTACTACGAATTAAATGCTATCATTGAAATCGTTTCAAACAAATTGGATTGAAATTAGTGTAATCAAATTAGTTATCAAGATTTCTTCAATCTGATCTGAAATTAAGCCAATAGAAAACTGTGGAGCCGCAAAAGAATTGCGTGCGTTTTCAACGGTGAAGCGGTTTGCAGCGAATGGTTTCGTAGAAAGAAATTTTGACTCTTGTAGAATTGAAAATGCCACGCACTGAGTTTATCAGAATACTGACGTTTGTATGCATCAAGATTACATTTATGCAAGAATAACAAGCGGTTTTCAAACTTCTGGCATTAGATAAACTTTATTAAGTATACTCGCACGATAGCTTAGGTCCCTGTTGGTGACGTCACTCTGTTGCATCTTTTTCTACTGTGGCTTGCCAAAATGGCGTTCTCTGTTCATCCGAAAGTTACTATAACTTAATGTGTGCGTGAGCTAAGCAAATCTGCAAATCTGGGCACGTATTGATATCGAGACCCTCAACATTATAATTTACTACAAAATGAAAAGATATAATTTTTTCAAAGTGCCTCTAGTCAAATTTAAACGATGGATGTCCAACTTTTTTGCGAAGCAAGTAGTTTTAAAGCTGCAATAAAAGGGGTAAAAAGCCTTGGCCCCCTACTTCACCCTCCCCTACTTTCGAATTAGTGGCGTGGGCCCTTTCGAAATCCAGGCAGGTCAAAATTATGTTTGGAATCGAGAACTATAATCGATGAGTTCTCGTCCAATGTATCAACAATGACACTACATATAGGCATAAAGGTTTTACAAGATGAAGGAGTTTCATCGTAATCAATATCAGAGACAGAAAAAGATGTGGTCTTTAAAATCTATGCACGACAAAGCATTGAAGGGAGTACTGCTGAACTTAATCTTAAATCTTCGATATAAAAAAGAATTTCAATAATTTTGCGGCGGTACAGAAAGGAACCCGAGATTAGAACCACGAAAACTTTGGAATTTTGACACGCTTTTGCACTTCAACTGGTAAATAAACGAATCAATTGTGAAGCTAGGTGACCGGCCTAGGTTAAATATCCTCGAATTCGTTGAGCCTGTTTTTGCTGGGCCTTCAAAAAAGACAGCATTCTAAGAGTAGCCTTTTTTGTAATGAAATCACATATAATTCATTCTTAAGAAATTTTTACAGTATTTATTCTTTAACCACTATTAAAGCATTAAAGGAATACTTTATAGTGGCAATTGGGGTCACTCAAGGAGGTACCGTGGTCTCATCTGCAGAAAAAGTGGGAGATGCATCTATTATTCACAGGCGTACCACATCTTTACGTATATTCTTTATAGGGACATTCGCAATTGTCAAGGCGTAAATATTCCTAGATATTTGATGATAATCATTATAAAGTTTTTAATATATTCTTAATTTTGGAGCAAAAAAATTATTCATAGGTAAATTTTCAAAAATTGGTTACGAGAGTGCTCTGTATGCAACAATTTCAGATCCTTTTCAGAATAAACAACATAGCTTTGAGGAAATCCTTGAAGTAAATTAACCTATCGGTCCAAGAACCTTTTTCATCTGATTTTCATTCTTTAAAAGGGGCACACAATTTTCAAAAAAGGGGCGCCAGACATGCTTCAACTCGTTGAGATAGGGGCCACTTCCCCTTAGTTGCCCCCCTTAAATCCGCCACTGGGTCTAAGCAGAGACGAACCAAACGTAGAGATCCAAACCTGTGCGCAGAGTTTTTGAAGAGGGGATTTTGCAAAGTCAGCATAAATCCACTGGCTTCCTTGCTTTCTCTTTGTTTAAATTATTAAGCAAAGTTCTGGTCTTATATAAGAGTCTATATAAGAGTCCTAAAGTATTTTTTAGATTTCCGTTTACACTAGAGTGCTGGATCCAAACTGAAACGCTATTGTAATGGATCCAAATAGTGGTCATCCACTTGCATATTCCTGTTACATTCGTCCTCAACCCTATCCTTGTTCCATTGGTTTAGAATAAAATTTCAATTGGGTTGTCAAAAGCATTTGCCCATTCGCACTCCAAAGTAACCTAAAGTTCTAGAGAACTGGATGCAGCTGCGGTGAATTGATCAGAATTACGAGCCTTTTTGTCGGTACTCTTCTCATAGCTATTGCCTTGTTTTTGTTTTTATTGTAACGCAAAAGGGAGAATTTTCAAACGTAGGTGAGAAATTTTGCCGATTATATTCATAATCGGGATTGTCTTCGGCATGCACTTTCATGTCTCGAAGCTTGAGATAGTGAAATGCTTCAATTTGCTAAAGATGCCAGTCAGCTGAGCAATGAAATAACAGCACCTTCGACATTGCAGCTTAACTTTTTGAATGTAAAAGAGGCCTTGGACTTTTTTATGCATTGACATAATTTTTCACATAATTATCATTTGATATTATTAAAGATGCAACTACCTTGAACTTCGTTCGCAGACTCCAACGGTCATGTCAAATGTTTTTCTTCTGTAAAAATTTGTTATGTATTCATTAAATCTTTACCTAAGACCCCAGTAATTAAAAAATAAAAACTTAGAACAGCCAGCCTGAATCTCAACTTCCTCGTTCTTATGTAGAAAGGGTGTGATATATAGGTATCTATATATCTTTTACATTTTTTTCAACATAGCTTCCAAAAGTAGGTTTTGGGAGCTTGGCTACATCAAGAAATGATGGTACCCAGGGTATGAAAAATGTTGTGGTTCTCGAGACCTTCACTACTGGGAATGTATTGAGATGGTATTTGAAAGTTATTTTTGTTATTATGTCCTTTGTCCCAAATAATTGGTGTGATAGAAACACGACTGGAGGTTGTTCTAGTGGGCCTGTAAGTAAAAAGATGATCATCAGCTCTTGGATAAAAAGTGTCTAAAGAAGAATTGAAAATGCTAGATCAGAATTTGCTTAACGACTCAATTTCTCTCTTTGTTTTCATTTTCTCTCGAAATTTGGGTGCCCAAGTAATGATTGTTTTTAGGTTACAAAAATTCGCTAGCAATGCCATACTGTTCCACAGTATGAATCCAAAGGTGCTCGGGGCTCAGGGGTTCTCCTGTGTAGCTCGCAGGGTTTATGTATTGCACCCTCTACACCCCTGCAAGGATTGAGGCAATATTTTTCTCTCAAGCATGGTCGTCTTCTGCGTAGCCCGCGGAGAGTTCTGGGATAGTTTACGGCGGGAACACTTCAAAATGGCGACTCGTTGTAATGATGATGTGAAGCAATTTGAAGAGGAAAAACCGAGTAAGAAAGCCAAAATTGCAGATAAGGACCAAGTCGATGGTCAAAGTATTATCATAAAATCACTTGAAAGTTTCAAACTGGTGAAGGTTCTTTGGAATGACATAATTACGAAAACTATTTTCGTACACGGTAAGAAAAACACTTATCAACTAGAGTGTTTTTCGATCTTGTAGTTATATTTTCATTGTGGTTTATGATAGAATAAAGACTAAGGACTAATGCAAATGACTATTGTAGTCATCTTTTAACTTTTTCTTTGGTATGATACTCTGATGATTGTTTATGATATTGCTCATTAGATATTTTTGCTGCGAAATGCTAAACCAGAAACTAGAAGTTTGCCATTGTGCTCCAGCATCCTTCCAAGCAGAAAAAATATGCCACCATCAAATTATCCAAAGTCCTGTCTGCCAATAATCTGTAGTATCAAGACCTTGATTCTTGTATGGCATCATTTATTGTATCATATGGTAGCACACAAGACTGCAGAGTATGACAAAGTGCACATCCAAGAGATTTTTTCTTAAATGCCCCTGCACACCTTGTAAAGGGTGTGCAGTTTGAGATCTGAGTTTGTCCAGTTTCTAGAGTCAAATTAAGAATCATGTTTCCTCAAGATCAACATAAGGGGGCTTTGTTTTTTGTAATTTTATTCAGTTTTTCTTGAGAGAGAATTTATAAAAGTACACAATCATGAAATAATTAAACCTGGTGCACTTGTGCAAATGATTGCAAAATTGCACAACACTGTGGTCCAGATATGGAGAGGAAGGAATGCATCCTTAATGATAATTTAGTTACTCCGCTCTGCCCCGTGCCTGGTTAGGAAAAAGGAATTTTGCTAGGATTGGGAATAAAAATTGAAAAATTTGAATGAACCAAGAAGTTTTTGCAAAATGCATGAGAATTTTGCTTTGATGCCTATGGGCACGAGAAAGGACTGAAATGTGCAAGTCTCATGCAAAATGCTATCAAAATGGAGGGCCATGTTTTTTTCTATTAAAATCCCTACAGCTAAAAACGAATCAGAAACAAATCCACCTATGAATCACAGCTTCTGATTGGCTGAATGGGCAACATGTAAAAAAACTTCTGATTAGGTTAACAACATTTTTCTTTGCTCACAGAACTGGAAATTTTTGACACTCATGTAGGTCTTCTATCATTTATAAACAAATCCTAAATTAGGAGAACTGGGAAAATAACTTTCAAATCAGGAGACTTCTGCCCAAATCGGGAGGGTTGGAATCTTTGAGTTTAGATCAAAGAAAAAAGGGGCATATTATCCTAACACTATGCTGGCCTGAAAGACACATCAACACTGGAAATTTCTGGTATAACAGGCACCCTTACATTGGCATTGTCAGTCCTTGTAGAAATTATTGTAATTTTGTAAAAATTACTTTTTTGTAAAAAAATTTTCCAATGTAGTTATCTTGCTAAAATATGTTTTTGATATCAAATTTATTTCAAAGGGAAAGTCTCAGGCTCAGAAGGAATAGATGAAGATGCTGTCATTAAGCTGGAAAAAACACCTTTTGATGATAATAAAGTTGAAGAATTCTTAGCAAAATCAACAGAACTGAAGCTGTCATTCCAGAATGATATTTATTCTCAATATACTGCAACTGCAGATCCTGAACTGAATACCCTCAAAGCTGTGACTATAGTCCCAGCAACACAAAAACATATACTGAAGTACAGTAGCCAAAACTTTTATCTCATACATGAAACTCCTCAGGATTTTGCAGAGATCACATTGCCACACATCAAAGAAAATCAACATAGTTTACAAGTAAAAATCTTTGGTTATTCAGTTGTACAATAATGACCCATTTGTCATCAGTTTTCTTCCTTTCAACTCCTACATTATTTGTATACAATGGTCAGGGGGTGCAGAAGCTGATGAATGAGGGAGCTAGACCCCCAGTAATTTCTAAAATGTTCTTAAAACCATACCAAATTTTTTGATCTCAGTGTGTTAATTATTACCCAAAAGTAGGTCTTAAGGTTGCTTGAGACATAAGATTGTAAACCTGTTTATAGTGACTAATACTGCATGCTACTTGTTGGATTCATAAGGCAGTTCATTAGTAGATTGTACCTGCCAGTTTGTAAAACCTTTCCAGTGCACCACTGCTTAGCAAAATGTGCTCTCTTTTGGCTCAGGGCAGGGGCTACCGTAGGGGCTAAAGCTCAAATTTTACTACAATTCCCAGTAAATTTAGCAAAATTTTAAAGTTTTCTGTTTTTGGTGCTTATGGCATCTTTAGTTTTTCCCCTTTAGCCACCACACCCTTAGCTAAGGGTATGCTTCCCAAATGTCTTAAAATTCCCAGGCACATTATATCTCTATAGGTATCTACATAATAGACAAACAATCATAAATGAGTCCTAATGATAACATAGTATGCGAAAAGCTTTAAGAGCCCTTCCGCAGTTGCTGATAAAGTGATCATTGGCTCTGTGTTTCAGTGGGTATACAACATTATTGAACACAAGGCAGAGTCTGACCGCATCATTTACGAAGATGCCGATCCAGAGACAGGGTTTCTGTTATTACCAGATCTGAAGTGGAATGAAAAGCAAGTGACAGATCTTCATCTTACAGCTATTGCAGTAAAGCGAGAGATAAATTCCTTGCGAAGTCTAACAGCGGAACACTTGCCATTATTAAAAAATATCCGAAGCAAAGGAATGGTAAACTGTTCTCTATTTTTTACTTTGAAATCTTTTTTTGATAGCCTGATAATAGATTGAATTAAGAAGCTATTGTTGAGTGTCTTGCTGTTTTTATACATTTTTAGAGGTAGGGGAAGCGCTTTGTTATATTAAGCCAAAGAGTTTAGTTGGGGTGAAATTATGCTTTAGAAAAAAATTTAAATTCAAGCTGCAAAAGACTAGCAGTGAAAACCTGTATTTCTACTCAGTGAAAACAAGAAAAGTTTGATGCCAATAATTTTTTTCCTCTAGACCCTTTGAAAACTCACAGAGTGGATGTTTTGGCAGATGCCCCCTTACTTATCTGATTTTTTGGTATTCGTTATTTTAATTGAACTGCTTTTCAAGGAGAAAAATCTTACAGTCAGGCAGAAGTGGATCTTTGTTTTGTATGATGACCAACCACAATTTGCTACTTTTCATATATTTTCAGGAAGCAGCACAGAAAAAGTATGGAGTGAATCCGGACCAACTGCGTGTTTTCCTTCATTACTACCCAACATATTATCACTTGCATGTGCATTTCGTCTCTGTCTCTTCGGTGACAGCATCTGTTGCGATTGGGAAAGCACACTTTATTGATGATGTCATAGACAATATCGAAAACATAAACGATAATTTTTATCAGAAAAAGACTTTAACAGTGGTACTTGGTGATCGAGATCCATTGCTAGGAAAATTTGTAAAGGCTGGGAAATTAAAAGAGACCCAAGATATTGATTGAACAAGCATCAATATCAACTTATTTGCTCCATGTAAGAGGTACGTCTTGTTTATAAAACTTTGTTTCAGTTCCTGAAGGGAGAGGTAAATATCGAAACCAATTGTGTACTAACACTGTTTAAGTTGTCTGATTGTATAGCCAATGATTGGCTTCTACATAAGTCACTTGACTCGGGTGTTTGTTCTAAACAGTCCATTACCTATATTTGTTAGACCAACTTGTAGATGCTATGCAGAAATGCTTCGCATAGAGTCTGTTTCACAAGTTTCACAAAGTTTGCTTCTCTTTATCTCTGTAATATCAAGTATCTTTAATGAATATACAAATCCTGAAAGACTGGAGCCCTTGGCTGGAATAAGTTGGTTTAGCTATTAGGGTGAACGATTTTTATCAAGATTGCTTTAACAATTCAAATTTGTCAAGTGTATTGGTTTGTCGCACTTATCATCGTCCTGCTTTTTTTGGCTTAATGTTATTGTAAAGAAATTCTAAGAGTTTGCATTTTTCTTGAGGGTGATTGTGTATTTTAGATGCTTTAACGTCATCACAGTGGCCTAATCTACCGACCTGCATGTGAGTGAGCTGATTTCAGCATCGAAAAGTGCATTCACTATGCCTGAGGTTCGTTCGTGTTAATCAATAGGTAGAGGGTTGAAAACTTTGCCTGCAAATCCAGAAATACCAACATCTTTTAATGTATATCTTATCACTTTATTTACCTTTTATATAGATACACTAAATTTGATATCTGTTGCCTTGTTGCGCTATTAATGTCATTGTTATGCCACCTTACTGCTCCTAGGCAAGTTACCTTGCAACTGGCCGATGATAGCCTTGGCCTGTTCTCTATTTTGTAGCCCCGTTATTATTCATACGCTTTATTTGATCTTGATTTCGTACGTGTTTTGCGTGAATGCACTTCCTAAGAAGACTGAGGCACGATTTGCAAAAAAAAATTAAGAACAATGAAGAAAATCAACCTTACTTACTTGCAAGACTGTTATTTAACGGTCTTAAAAACTGTTTGCTGTGTGTAGATGTAGAAAACTACAAACAAAATTACGAACATCCAAACATCAAAATATCAAAAAAATAAGAAAAACGAGTGCGGCAAAAATAATCGAGCTCGTTTTAAAAAAATGTACAACTGTAATTATTACTGGGATAATCATGTCATACGACCAAAGTCGTCCTTTGTCGGGTGATTTATCAAGAAATCCCAAGCACTAGATCAATATATAAAGAACTTAGAGAAACTTCAAGTTTTTGGCGATAGTTTCATCTCGAAATTAATGTAGTTTTAAGTTTAAATTTACAGTTACTTGACATTTCTTTCTTTCCATTGTGCAAACTCAGTGGCGGCTCCAGCCTGGGATAAATGGGGGGGGGGGACAAAAGGTGTGTCAGGGACCACGCCCTTTCCCCGTGATTGAAGCATTTTCTCTCGGAGGATACAACTCTTATACCCCAAGAAATGTCATTTAAATGTGACAATCTAGATAACGTACATATCCCCCCCCCCCGAAGTTTTCTCAACAGGTTTGCAAGAATCTAAAGGACCGAATTTCTGAAAATGTGTGGGGGGGGACTAGTCCCCCCATTCCCCCCCGTGGCTCTGCCACTGTGCAAACTTGATGTCTTTTTTCAACCTTCTGTACGAAATATCCGAATATTCTACCGCCATGCCACGCCCTTCCTGGTGCCCGGGAGATCAAAGTTAAGTCAGTTAAGTCTGCAGAGGCTCATCAGAGCATCGATGACGTTAGCAATTCGGGACGAAATGCAAAAACTGGGACGGGTCATCGGAATGATCATAAGGCAATATTACATGTCGCCATTGCTTTTGTTTAAACGGTTCGAGTTACGAAAACCCGCTTAACGCCATTTATGATCTTCTTACACTAATTAGCGTTCACACTTAAAACTCAACACATATAAGAATTAAACCGGCGTTGAAGGGTATTGCTGCATTAAGGCATTGCTTTAGGTGAAATAATTTCAGAGGAAGAGAAACCACAGACTGCCGTGTTAAAGAACATGCATAGGATTGCGATATTGCTTTGCACTTCTTAGGCATTGCCACTTCAATCCAATTATCAAAAGCCATCGTATTCAGGAACTTAGGACTTTAACGTGAATTTTTTGTTGATCGTGAAGATTAAAACATAAGGTGTAACATTTTTTCTAAGACCTGGTAATGTCAAAACACACATTTCGATTCCTATGAAAAAACCCTGCTACTTCATGTAAGGAGGAGTTGGTTTCCGTACAAACTCTTCTGCTCGGATTCCAAGGAACTTGATGCAAAAATAATCGACCCAGCGATGCATTTTATAAACCTGGACTTTTGCCACTGCCTCTTTGTAACTTTATTTCCTTCTGCAACATTTTCCCTCTCAGAAGTAAACGTTATTAAATTTTCATTGATATTACTAAAATATGGGTATACGCAGGTACAATAGAACGCTAACGGAGCAAGTGCGAGCAAGTGCTAGTAAAGGGGGCAAGCTTTAGCAGTTTTTGGAGGAGGGGCGATGAGGAGGTAGTGTCCCCCCCGTGGCTCCGCCACTAGCTACTACGTATAAACATCCGCGGAAGCGAGCCAAGTTGTAGATTTCAACGTTAGAGCTTTATTTGAAAAAGCTTGTAAATGATCATAAATCGGAGAAACAGCAATTTTCATCGTTTTAAAGACTCTTTTATGTTCTTTACGTTTTTAACAGAGTGAGGAGAACATTACGGTCGCACGGCCACTGACTTGAGGAAGGTCCACGAAAAGCAATAGAAGCTCCAATGACACACCCAAGCCACGCCCACTTTCTACTGTTTTTTGAGGAAGGTTTGCCTTCTGGGATGTTTTTGTCTGGAGGAAGGTTAACACCTTTTCTGGATTCTTTGTTTTTAACTCTTCTTAGTGCTTTGATCTAGAGAAACTTAGCTGATGCGAAAATCTTAGTGGAAAAAAATAGCCATTGCAAATTAAACCAATGCCATATCAATGATAGTGGCCTTAAAAAAACTCAAGTGCATTTGACGCTTAGAACCGATATTCTAAGATGTAATCCATGCCCAGTTTGAAGGCAGTTAAAAGGAAGCAGCGAAAAAAAAGAAACTGTCAGTTCAAGTTATTGATCTCAGAGTTTTTTCGTATTCAATTCAAAAATTTAATACACATTTTTAATATCACCACGACTGGCCTAGTTTATGTACAATCGATGACTCCGTCGTATTCATAGGTTCAGGGCATACTTTATACACATAGCTATTTACTTAGATAATTGACTGGCATCCCACATTTGGAAGCTTTTTAATAAAAGACACATTGGGGTCGCATCTTACATATTGGTACAGATTTTGGTGGCCCGGAAGCTCTTTCGGGGGGCGATTCTCTTAAGGGGGCTGGCCGTAAAGGGCATTGGCACGGGACAGGAGAGGCATCTCACCCCATTTAAGACCAAACTTAAAGGGTGTTAATGAGGCATATCAGTTGCCGAAAATTTTGAAATGCAAAAGCAGTTCCATTTATCAGGATTTCGAATTATGGGAAGTTTATAACGTGCTCTGGGCCCCCATATTTGGACCGTCAGCCCCTACTCTTTGGACAGCGAGTAGCACGCGTGGTCTAGGCCATGTTTGCCGGTATTTTCATATTAATTCGATCGCCTTTAGGTTTCAAAATACACACGTTCATTAAATGAAGTCATTATCATACAATTACTATACATCGAAGTAATAGAAATCAATTATTAACACGGCGTGCCGCTTGGGCCGCGAGCCACAAATTGAAACATACCAAACCGCACGGCTGGAAACAACATCAACCCGACACGAGGGCCTCATGATAAACACGGCTCGATAAGGTACCTTCATTGTGTATGAAGGGTACCTTTACTGGGTTCCGAAACTAGTGATTCTCAAATGTTGTTTTTATTTCTACTGCGATCAAACACACATATTTTGCTCTTATGACCACTGAACATAAATAACATTTGAGTTTATGACCAACGAACAGTGTTTAGCTGTATTTATTAGCCGTGTGCTTTGCTATGTTTCAACATCTTGAATTGCTTTTCCACCGTCGGAAATTTTTTATTGGAAAAGCAAGTAAAATGAAAGCCTGGCCGAACTCGAAGAGATGCTGCTACATGAGTGATTCCTTTAACGCTTTTCACAATCTACATTACGTCAAGAGCAAAAATTTCAGCGATTCTATTCCCCTGTCTTTTATTACTGTCAACATTGCATTAATAAAAATCGATACTTCTCTTAGATTTTTTTTGAATATCTCAAATGTACTGTGGAAATGTTTTCTTTTGTGGGATACCGACAGCATGTCTAGGTGGCTTTTTGAGATATATTTGGCTCAGGCTGATTTGGCGTCTAGATTCAGATTAGAAATCGTTAATCGAATAATCTGGAAACCAATTCAAAGGATAGAGCTTCATCGCCAAGAACTACTATAGTGTTTTTATGGTTCCTTTCCCATTGGCTGTAAGCATATACTATGTTAATTCTTTTATACGTTCCTCTACTGTTGGCTGAGATAAAACTCCGAACTAAAAAATGTTCATGGTCCCTGTTGGGCTCGAAAGGGGTGTGGCATTTTGAGGATTGGGATATATTTAAGAGGTAAACATAACATAGCCACGGGGGCAATTTCCCCAATGTGTGGGGGATATAGCTAACATATACAGTCTGCTAACTGAGCTTTATATCGAGCCTTCATGAGTCAAGCATACAGACAAGATAACATTTTAAGGCCTATTGTATACGGCTACGTTGATTTCGAACAAATGATGTTTTAAAGGAAGGGTAAGAGTGAGAGTGGCTACTTCCAATGAATAATACTATAACTATGGTCTGCCAACTTCGTACGTTTTATGGTACCATGCATTACAATAGAATTAGCGATAGTCTTTGAGTTAAACGGTAGAGGAGACATGGACGATCAAACTCACTAGTTATAAATTATATAAACCAGTTCGGTAAACCACAAATCAAATTGATCTTGGGTCGGGTGCTGGTATTAAAATAATACCCTGTTACATTAATAACACCCATAAGGCTCTCTTGGGTGGCAGGATTAGAGAACTCACGGGGTACGGCGAGGGGAAGATACACAGGGGTGTATCTCCTTAAATACGAGTTTATTGCTCAAAAAGGGGGCATTCGAAGAAACAAACTCCATAGAGGTGAGCCTTTATAGCTACAATTAAATGTTTTTAAGTATGGCTCGAGGCGGTTAACGGGGTCGATTTGAACATCGAGGCAAAATATGATTTACTACTGTAACTAGAAATTCAACGTCATTCACACATCAGCGTCGATAGACTAAAATGAAATGGTTGAACAGTTCCTGTTTCGATGAACAAAATGACATTATCTGTAGAACACGAGTTGCTCTTCCAAATCGTACAGACAATATAGAAATGTGAACGTCGAAAGATACGACACACGGCGGCTATCGCTCGAAGGTGATTGAACAACGCGAGGCCCCAAAACGTCTTGTGTGTACTTTATTCGAAATGGCAAATACATCAAATTCTAACAATACCATTGTTTTCTGCAATTGTTTCCAGGCAATCGACGTGCTTGCTTTTGAAACTGAAACTCTCCTGGGGGATACAACCGTATAAATGATGTTATTGATGTTACCAAGCGCATAAGGGCTAATTAACCGAGTATTGTCAACGTGGTATAATTAAGCCATTGGGGCCAACACAGCTTTGCATTCTTCGTTTCAGAAACAAGCTTATGATGGCACGCTATCAAAAAAACTTTCAGCAAGGCTCGCCTGTCAAATCTGATCGTTACAGAACCGGGTTGATATTTCCTTCCACAGGACAGAGGGCTTGTCTTGCAAGTTTTAGCTCGATTGCTTGTCCCAAACTAGCTAGGGAGACAGCTTTTGAAGGTTAGCTCAGGTGGAGGTAGCGTGATCAACTTTGCTTTGAATTCAAGCACGACCAAGTTCAGCTCTGCAAAAGACATATCATCAACCACGCGAAACCTATCGACCAAAAGCTAATGGAAACCGCTTTCGCAGAGTTGAGATATCCCGCGTAATTAGCTTTGTCCTCCGTAAATTCAGTATTGGATCTTCTGACCAAACCGCTTCTCTTTCGTTTGACCCCATACGAATCACTTGTATAAAGACCTTGATTAGCTTTAAGCGTATATAAAGATTTTACACTGTTTGTGAGCGTTGTTGATATTGTTATCAGGTCTGTTTTACGGGAATTTTTGGCCTCTTTTCTTTCCAAACGATGCTTTTTCAACCAGTCTTCCAACTGCTGTCTTTTCTTTGATAGCTCAGGCTTCGATCGAATGTATTTTCTCATCGATTTGCGTAAAATTCGTTTCATTTTTTTCAAATTCGGGCAATGTGTAAATCTACTCGTATCGCCCAGCTTCCTGTATGGTCTATGTGCTGTGCTCCAAAATTCTGGCAACATTCTCAAAAGTAACTTTTCCCGTGCTTTTTTAGCTGCTGTTGAGATTTCAACATTGTGAAGATAATACCGATCGTTAAATTTTCTAATTAAAATTATGTACGATTTGTGAGCTACTGCGTCTGTCCTCGTGCAGCCCCCACCATCATTTCCAAATCCATATACTTTTATTACTCTAGGTAAAGAGGGTCCTTTTAAAATGCAATGGATTGTCAAGTGTGCCGAGTAATACCTTCTCAAATGGAGCTTTGCATTTGACGATGTCTGTAGCACGGTTGCAAAAACTACCATTTCTGCATCATGTGCTCTGGCACGGAAAGACCTCGTTACGCGATGGTCAGGCGGCGAGCAAGCAAAAACTTTATCATTGTCCATTATAACAAACAACATTAAAGTGCATGTAATAGCGTTGAGAACGATACTTCCGTGCATAGCGAGCACTTACCAACTGAAACTTTTGTCACTGTTTCGAAACGCATCTAGGTTGTATATCGTTATGTAGTGGAAAAGACGCAACTCCAAGGTGTAGACGCTACGAGCAGACGAGCTCTCCCTTGCAAGCATACTTCGTACTCAAGTTGGCGATAAACTGAAGAATTCGCTGCATCCTTTGAGAGGTCCGCAATCACTCTTTGTTTACTCATTGGGAGACAGGTCCAAAACCCGCGGATGACCTCCAGATACCGTGGTCATTGCAAGGACAGCCGCCAACCCTACTGTTTGGCGGCCACATGCCCTCACAACGTGATCCGTACCGGTTTTTATGTCTCCTTCGCAGAGTAACACTCCACAAAATGACCGTGACAGTTTCCTATGTTAATCGGCTACAGAAAAATTCAAATTTTATGCTTTCTGTTACAGTTTTGGTCAATAAAAAGAGATCCATTGCAGACATAGCTCCCAAATTTAACATTGTCTGAAAATTTAATTGCAAATCAAATATTTAGTAACCTCTATTCGGTGTTGGTATACGGTTATTGTTCATCAATTGTCTCACATATTTCTTAAAAAGGGCACTTGAAGAAGAGACCGGTTTCCATGGGGTTAAAACAAAAGAAAGATACTTCTCTACTTTACTTTATATCTCTACTTTATAACAACTGACCCTGTTATGAGTCACACGAAGGCAGCATCTTTCACTTAAACAAAGATGAAGAAACCGGGAGGATGCAGTTTCACTCAGGCGATCAAAGCTGATCTTTTTCAGTTGCCAAGGAGTTCCAATTCAAATGATTCTAAGCAAATTAACTGGAAATGACGAGGTCATTTTGAGTCACGTTTACCATCCATTAACAATTGCAAACATAGCAGAGGAAGGGTTAAATAGATGGAACTTAAAGACCTAACTTTACTTCTATTATGAAGCTTTTGTTACCCTCATGTCCCCAACATTGCCTCATCCCATAGTGAAAAATTCCAGGCAGATAATTACACACTGATTCACCTTCAGAGCAACTGGTTTTTTCCCTTTTCCAAAGCTTCGGAAAGCCTCAAAAATTTTGAAGTTGTTGTTATTGTTCTGTCAAAAACATGTTGAATTTTCATGGTACCTGTATCCATTCATCCAAATGTTAACCTGCTTTGTTTTGAATCAAAAGATGGAAGCGGATTTAGAGACCGTTCAGTTGATGATAAAACTGTGTAAAAATAACAACATTTCGCCACACTGTGTGCCGACCAAAAATTCTACAAAAAGCGCGTAGGATGTTTGTATACAAGGATATTTTGGTTCCAAATCTGTTGATACCAATTAAAAATACATTTGGTAGGACAAAGGCAGGATAATCTTCCATTTGTAGAGACAGTCTTTAGAACATAACGGAATCGTAACTAAACAATAAGGAGCACTTTGAAAA